TGACGTTCAGTGAGTCTGAAGCGGTGACACACGGCAATTTTGATAAGCCATCGAAGAAAAAAGTCGCCTATCGATTCGAACGAAATAAAATGGCCGCTTGCTACCAGCGCAAGGAATTACGAAAAATGGTATGCAACGAGTTCGAAAACAAATTACCATCCAGATCCGTTTTTATAGCGAGCGGCCTTTCCCGTGTCTCGTGAAACAATCCCTTCATAAAACCAAACCATACCAGTACGAGCCATAAACATGGTCCATCCGTTAGAATATTCCGCAAACGAGTATCGTGAACGTCCTCGATAAAACCTACCTCGAGATGGAGAAGGCGCGACTATCTTTTCCAGAAGGGGATATAGAGAACAAAAAACAGGGGGACAGAAGTATCCGGCGACGATTTAACAACGATGGGGGAGGGGGATTCAAATTCGTGTCGGAATCCAATATTTCCGAGAGCTTGCAGGAAAGTCGCAAGGAATGTCGCATGGAACGATACTACGACGCGTTGCTGTTGCTTCGTGTGAGGGATGGAAAACGGTGGTGGGAAACGGAGGCAGGAGAAGCGAGGCGATTCGGCGTGTTGTACGAGCGCCGTGGTGCGAGCCGGCGGAAGCCGAGCAAGAAATGGAAGAAGTCTGGAAATCCAGATAACCGGGCTCCTTTAAGAGAACGACAAAGGGTCTCGAGCGGAGAAGTATGTTGGGAAAGCGCTCGAGAACGAAGAAAAAGAGGGGGAAAGCGTCCATCAAAACAGTTTTACAGCGACTCGGTTCTCGAGTGGTCTTCTTTATGCTTGATACTCTTGCCTAGATGTGCGTGGAGACCAATAGAGACCTTCGAAGAGGTATCTCGATATATCGAAGAAAGTGTGTATCGTTTAGGAAGAGAGCTAGTCGTTGGATGGACTATCGGTTACTCTGTATCGTGTTACTTTGGGGCAATTAGCGCTGCTTTCTTTGTAGAATCGAGAAATGTAGAGAAAGGTTCCTTCGGTTGCCATGATTTTTTTAACCGATCGGTTAGGTTTTCAATCCTTGATTCGTATGATTATTTTATTATTAGGCTGTTTTTCAATTTTGTCATTTTAATGTATATTAAAATGTTGCGTAAGTTCTGTCCATCGAATTTCGCAAATTGAACAGACTACTAGAGGCAATAAGAAAGGAGACTTCTCGGTAATTTAAGCGAAGTGCCAAAGACAAATACAATATCGGGATGAAAATCAAGTTGTTCAAATGTGCTATAAATTCATATTAAATTTTCCATTATTGTTTCATTTTACACATTACACGGCGCTACGTTACTCGTGTGTTATCATTTTTCGTGTATTTTTTATATCAGTTGCAACAACAGTAACAGCAATGCGGATAATAATAAATTTACCGACTTTAAAAAGCATCGCGATAAAATTCAAACTGCGATGTTCAACGAGTGTCATCCAGGGCGCGAAGAAAAAATTTAACGATTCAACTAGTGTTAGCGACACAGTCGCGACTAACTTGTTTATCGCGCAACTTTTAATTATGTTTGTGCTTTCAGCAGACCCGTCCACCGATTTCCGATGAAACTTTACGAACTTCCGACTCATCCGTCTAAAAGTGTGAGGGATAACTGTTTAGATGACTTCCTGCCGATAAAAAGTGGCGAACGCCAACCTGGCAACCGTAACTTCGCGAGATAACGCTGTTGAAGCTTGCCGGGGACCTTCTTCGTCGAGTGCATCGTCATTTCTGACTGTAGATTTCTCCTTTCGTCGTGTGTCTCTTCTCGAAACTGATCGAGCTCGTTAAAGAACGAGTAATTTTTGAAGAACGAGCGATATTTTTTTCGTAAATCGATCGACAAAAGATAAAGTCGCGGGAATACCACTTTTTCTGCGTTGAGTCTTTTTCTGCGTTGACGAGTCACTCGTCGGATAAAAGGCACGATTTAGCATGGGAATCGACTAATAAACGGAACGTTGTTTGATTAATTGATCGGCTCTGGCCGATGGATGTGGATTTCCAGGCCGAGTAGACGAGATAGAAATTATTTGCATATTTATATGGACGGCGCCGATCGTTTTGGGGGAAATTTATTCATTAGCAAAAACACGTTTACACAGCATTACATAATTACGTGTGAGTAATTAGAGGTTGAACTAATTAGGTGTGCATACAGAGTGTGGCAACTTGTTCTTTCGAAAGCTAGTTTTTCGAAATACCATTTGATATCCTTGTTAATGAAAATGATTACAAATTGTGAACGAATAATAATCGCTACGAATTACTAAAGGCGAGAGTGGAAAGTGTATTAAATATTACGAAGAATTGCTTGATATTAATAAGATGCGAAAATCGTATACAGCTGCATCGACTTATATCTGCGAGCGCGATCCTCTCCAAGCGGCACGATACTTTTACCGCAGAAATATTTTAAGCGAAATAGTTACGATGCATTCGATTAAGAAAAATCGGAAATGCATCGAATATTACGGCCAGGAACCTGACATTAATATCATTCGAGAAGTGCACTCTTGGAGACTAGCTTTTAAAAAAGTCCTCGTGTTTCCAGCAGAGAAACTATATTCGATGAAACCATTTCGATGTATTAATTTGAAAAATGTGCGCGTATGTCGAATACTATGGGAATTAGTTGGAAATCAATGACACGTAAAAATTATATGTAACTGTATCGACCTGTACATTTGAAAATTACTGTTCTAGAACGATGAAATACTTTCAATTTAAGAATATCCTCATAATTACTGCGCTATAATATTTCCATATTGATATTCCTATTATAATTTCAAATCGATAATGTAATTATATATCTCGTCTTATTCTACAGAAAATTCCATATCAGAAGATATACAGGGTGGTTGGTAACTGGTGGTACAAGCGGAAAGGGGGTGATTCTACGCGAAAAAAGAAGTCAAAAATATAAAATAAAAAAAATTTTTTTTTTAATTTTTCCATCGAGACAACGATCTACAGTGAGATCCGTTATAACGTACCGCACGCGTACCGAGCGAAAATTCAAAGTCGATTTTCTCGAAAACAAAGCCTCAAACGAAAAATTTTTATTCTATATTTTCGACTTCTTTTTTCGCGTAGAATCACCCCCTTTCCGCTTGTACCACCAGTTATCAACCACCCTGTATATAGGCGGAAACAATATTTTTAACGGCAGCATTTTCGGTCATTAAATTCAGGAAACAGTGTGCAATACCGTAAATGTTATATGGTAATCCGCGAGATACAAGAAGCGCATATGACTGTACCAACTTGTATTCTGGAAAAGTACCTTTTTGTATTCTCCTACGGTATCGAATATCGCGTGAATAAGATCCTACTTTTATAAAGTATCCCTTACAGAAGGAAATAATATCCTGAGCAGGAATGGTATTTTTAATGGGACCAGGTATTAGTGTTGAAAATAGAGGGCGCAGGAACCACGGAACGAGTAGAAAATTTCGTTATTTTAATAGTCCCTTGGGGATGCTCTGGTTGCGACTTAAATATCGAGACACACACATTCTTCAGGGCGCGAGGTAAAAGAAGATCTTGCCAAGTTCCGTCTGACTAACACAAATCGTTCGCGAACGTTTCCACTGCAGGAAGTTGCTGGTAACTGCGCGCCAAACGAATATCGTCATAAACCTAACCCGCAAACTTCCATTCGTGCCGTTCCTTTCGCCGATACTCCAGCCAACCAACGTATTTGCCATTCTCGGCCAACTAGCGACCGACCCGGAAAAATTATTTACAGATGAAATTGCCGTAAATGGCAGCCGTAAACAGCCCTGCAACTTTTCCGTGGTTTTCTCTGCCAACGATTAGCCGATTCATGAACTCGAGAACTCTGGCTGTCATTTCTTCCGGTTAGTCGCTGTTGCGGTATCGTTTTGTTGACTAACTTTACGAGAGGTTTCTACAGCGTTTCTCGGTGTCGAGGAGTGCGATGTTAAATCGAATGTTGTCGATCTTTGGAAGAAAAATTCCCTCGACTTTCCTCCAACAACTTCTTCTCGCTTACCTTTCCGCTTCATTCCGGGTTCGCGACGCTTTGAAGAGAAATCTGCGAGTTCCACGAAAGAGAAAGGCAAAACTACAAAAATGGGGAAAGAAGGAAAAAGAAGAAGCGGGGAAGGCGGTGAAGTGCGAAAAACGAGGAAGAGAAATACGAGAAAAATGGGGACGAAAGAAATGGCGCTGTGTTAATAAGATTCGTTTTAAAAATCAGTAACTGGGAGTATGGTGATTTTCGTGGAGGGGAAAAGCACGGGGATTACCCCGTGAATGCTAAGTCGGCGTTTGAGCAGGAAAACGCAAGGGACGTATTAATCTTGACGCCGAGAGGACTTGTTATCCGACGTGTATGATATCGTTAGCTTTTTCACGCCTCTTATAAACCCGGAAAAGAAAGGCGTATTTGATTTATTAAATACGTTATCTCGAGGTAGAGTGTGGAGAGAGGGAGAGGGAGGGAGAGAGAAGAGAGAGAGCGAGTAAGGAAAGCCGGAGGAAGCCGAGTAGCATGTTCCAGCTGTAGAAAAATGTGCTTAAATCAAGCGTTTCCGTGATGCAGAAAAACGCCATCCTGGGAATATTAATGCCGATGTCACGAAATTCCTCGGTAGAAAACTAGAACTTAGAACGATCCCAGTCTCTGGACAAATGTTTTCCGGTGAATTTTCTGCCTGCCACGGGTAGATTGTAAGGGACGAGGATTTCCACAGCGAAGATTGAACGCGGCGATATACTCCGCTTCTAGTTCGTTTTACCCTCGGACGATTACTTTGTAACCGCAGTTCAGGGGTGTTTCGGGGATAGGGAGGTTGTTCCGCCTCCATTTTAGCACGAAGCTTTTGTCGAAGGTAAAACGCAATATAGGAATTGAAATCGATTTCATCGCAAACCTTGATCGTCGAACATTTAAAAGCTCGTAATATAAGGTAGGTAATTAGGAATGCGAAGGAATATTGCATTTTCGCAATGTAACGTTCTCGTGGAGTATCGAACGAAATCATAACGCAATAAAACAAAGAATCTGCGCCGGTTTCCACGTAGACGCGCCGGACTAAGTATTATTCAAAGAGCCACCTTTGTTCTATACATTCTTCCGTCTAGGAGCATTTAATTAAAACAAAATTGTTTCTGTGTTGCGATTTCATTCGGCGCATAGACCTTCCATCTACGTAATGAGGCAACTTCCACAAGCAATCGGCTTTAATTAACTTAAATTTATTATCCAGGCGTAAAACAGCGAGAGAGTGGAAGAAAGAGGGAACGATAGGCAGCAGCGTGCAGCGAAGGAAGAGAGAAGCCGACTTGCGTTTCATTTAAAGGCTGGAAAAAAAAAGACGCTTTAATTGTTCTTTATATACTCGCGCTCCCATAGCTTTCTGTCTTCCGTTGCCTGGAAAACTCCATCTTAATTCTTTCGTCGGGACGCATTCCTCCGGATCCCTTTTAATTTCCGTTCTTATTCCGCAGAAAGTGAAAATGGAGCTCGATCGCGCTCTAAATTGAACGAGGAACGACGAACAAATATCGAAAAATATTGGAAATGGAATAAATTTCCGAGTTGACGGTTGTTGAGTTAAATTACATTGTGATTAACGTAACGTTAATGCAACGTTAAATTACATTATGAGTTAATTTCGCCGTTTTAAAGGACGATTTCGAAGAAAGTGCAAAGCGCAGCTGCCATTATTGGATGACTCCGGTAGAATAACCGTCGAGAGACGTCTACATCAAGGGATGGGGGCAGGTTTCTTGAAGTTTGATCGTTAGCGGAGAAAAATGTTTGTACGGATAATAGGTGGCCTTATTGGCTGTTGTTTAAGCTAACGCAATTATCTTCCCTACAGGGTGCATGTGTCGGTCGACTTATCCAATTTAAAGTTCCTTCATCAGGCAGAAAGCGAAACAATTAGCTGGATGTGACTTTGCCACGGTTCAATTTCGATGGAAACAGCGAAGAGTGCGATTGATAATGACGAACGTCTTGAAAGAAAATTCGTGTCACTTGGAAACTCACCTTATTGCTAACTTTTTCACTCGTTGAATGCATACGGGAAACAAAAACCAACAAGTTTTTGTTTCCACTTTTACGCGTTTCGAACAAACTTGACATAAAAAACCAACAAGTTTTGAGATACGCAGATTGAACTATTCTCTGTAACCGCGTTTGATCAACACGCAGTTTTTACTTCAACTTTACCCTTTGTTCTCTCATCTGCAAACTTTTGACTTTGAAACTTCGATGTTGCCTTGCGTCACACGTGAAACGTCCTCTGTCGCAACTGTGTACGGAACCGATGCTTCACCCTATTGCTACGAATCTACCACATCCTGTGGCAAAGGGGAAAAATTGATTTGATCGTCGACTACGGAACGTCGTTTCTACCGAGATATTTGCAAACGAGTTTCCTTCTCATTGATTCCATCCCCCTTGCTCTTTCTTCGAGGAAAACGAAGTTGCGGGAAGTCAGACAAACAAAGATCGTTCGGGGGAGTAGATGAAAGTCGGCAGCGTTCTGTCGATCCATCCAACTTCTCGATACTGTACCATACCTACCCCCGTCCATATCTTCTATGTTCTTCTGTCGACTAATTTCTTTCTCGCCCTCGTCTCTTCTGGGAATGTCCCCGCTCCAATTGTTTGCTCTGGCAACAACACGATCCAGGAAAACAAGGGAACGTGTAGGAAGCGAGGGAACTGGTAGAGGAAGAGAGTGGATTTGTACGAGAGGACGAGCGAAATTGTGCGGCAAGGGACACTGGCGTGGCGTCGAATGTTTCCGCTCTCGTCTGGTCCATTTTTCGGCAGGTATTAGTGGTAAAAGCTGTCGATAATGGATCCTTATTAAATAGAAAAGAAAAAAAAATGTTAGGCGGAAAGTAACGTGTCATACCTCTTGATGGTTTCGCTGGCGAAAAGCGGGAGCGCTTTTTGCGCGGATGCGAAATTTCGGAAAATGGACGGCCGACAGGGTTGCGTCGGTGCGATTTTAATTTCTTCAATTCGATTAACGATAATCGATGCTAATTTTCCACTACTTTCTGCCATTCGCTATTCTACGGTTGTTCTCGTGGAAAGGATACTTGGAAATAATAGAAACCGAAATTCGAAAAAACGAACAATAGAGAGAAACCGTGACAGGTTACATCTACGACGCCACCAATTTTTTCAATACGTTTATTATTTTTTAAACAATAATTTTAACCGCTCGTTTATTTCAATCGTTTTACATACGTGGATAGTTGTGTAGAGTGTAGACGTTTCTTTAGCTTACAAATAGGTTAGTTTAGTTTTTTTTTATCCATACATAACGTGTGTATGTCTATGTGCGTGTGCGCGTGTGTATGTCGTGTGTACGTGTTTGTGTGTATGTACGCTGTGTATGTTCCTGTAACCGTATGTACGTGTGTCTTTACGCCAGTGTGTACGTATATATGCATGTATGCGTGTATGAGTCGTTACGTGTGTTCTCTGCTCTCAGAGTACTGGCTCTCCTCCATTAATTAGGTAATTAATATATTACATAGCGTCTCTGCTTCCGTTCTCTATCTCCTCTGCAAACCTCATCCCTCCCCGGAAACGATCTTTCATCCCCGCTATCGACTCTCTTCCCTTACCCTCGGCCTTCCGTTCATCACCCGGCCCTTCTCTCCCCCATTTCCCTCCCACGTCAGCAGCGGAATCGCAATTGAGGAATTGTAAGACGGATTTAAGTGCCATTTGCCCTTGCTTGACAGGCGACTGGAACGAGATCGAGCGCGCTGCGACGCCGAGCGTGTTCGTGGATCGACGATCGAGCGATGTCCGCGGGAGGAAGTCCGAGATAAATGACGTGTTCGTTTTTTTTTTTTTTTTTTTTT